TTAAATTTGTTTAAGAACTTGACTCCGCAGATTGAACAACAGATTGTACTCACAACACTCTTCAATTGTCTAATAATAAATCCTAAGCCGTAACAAAAAACTTTATACGGTCTCGATAATTCACACCAAAAGTATGAAAAGGGACATCATCCATGTTCAACATTGCACTGTTAGTACTCTGATATTTTACTTATGTTGATGGAATCAGTCTCTCTGAGAGCTACCTCAGAGTTTAGAAAACCTGACTACCAGCCAGCCGCAGAACCATAAAACTGAGTTTTAAAGCTGTACCCTCAATAGGAGATAATAGAATGAGTTGCCTAGTCATAAAAACAGAAGCCCAAGCAAAACCTATGCAATGAGTCAAAAAGATTCAGCATTTGACATCCTAAACTGGAAAAATTGTATTATAAATATATCTACGCTGGCCTAATAGATAAAGAAGGGGTGCCAATCTGTTTATCAGATTGGCACCCCTTCTTCCACAATCTATTTGCCTCTTATATACTTGATTAAAGTTCTTGTTTCATTTTGATTTTCTTATGTTAATTAAATTTATTTTTCTTTGAACTGTTTTTTTTTTGTTTTTTTTTTAATTCAATTTTTGTTATTAACTTTTTTTAATCTTCTAAAAAAACCTCCTAAAATTTTGCTGCCATTAGTAAAATCATTGCAATGAGTGAACGTTATTAATCGTGTACAATTTAAGTATAATTAAAGCTATAATTATCATTAGTGCATTTTTCTATTAAGTTATTGAGAGAACGATTAGTTTAGTTATTTTTATTGTGGTATTTTATAAAATGGTAGTTTATTTTTCTTATGTTCAATTATTAATTTTATTATTAATTAAACTTAAGAAAACTTTATTATACTATTGTAATTGTTGTTGTTGGTGATTTTAATGCCCATCACACTGAATGGCTTGGCTCTAACACCACTGATCCTGCTGGCATTAAAGCTTTTAACTTCTGCATTTCTGTATCTTTTACTCAGATAGTTAACTTTGTGACTCGTTTTCCTGACAACCCTAATCATTTACCTTCACTCCTTGACTTATGTCTTCATCCTAGCTTATGTTCAGTTTCTTCCTTTTTTCCCTTAGGTGGTTCTGACCATGCAATGATCTCTATAAATCTTTCTTCTCGTACTTCTTTTTTGGGCTCACCTTATCATCACACTACCTACTACTACCCTAAAGCTGACTGGGATTCCTTTCATGATTTTCTTTGTGATGGTCCTTGGGCTGATGTTTTTTCTCTCTCAGCTGATAAATGCGCCTCCTACGTAACCTCCTGGATTCAGGCTGGAATGGAAGCTTTTATTCCTTCTTGTTGGTTTCAATTCAAGCCTCATTCTACTCCATGGTTTTTTCTTTTTTGTGTGGCTGCTATATCCAATTGTAATCATTTTTTTCATCTTTTTTAAAAGAACAACTCTCTTGAGAACAAAAGGCTATTTATTATTGCAAGAAATCGATGGAAAAAGGTGCTTTCTGACTCTAAACTCCATTATTCTCAGTTCACTAAATCTCGCATCTTATCACAGAAGTTAGGCTCTAAAGACTTTTGGAAAATCTTCAACAGCATTATTAACAAGGGTAGATCTAACATTCCATCTCTCATTCATGGGACTGATCTTAATACCTCTCCCAAGAATAAGGTAGAACTATTTGCAAAGAACTTTTCTTCTAATTCCACTCTTCCTTTCATTCCAGTCAAACAGGTTGACCCATTGTTAGACATTCAAATCACTCTGGCTTCTGTTGCTAAAGTCATATCTCAATTAAACTCGTCTACAGCTTGTGGTCCAGACCACAAGCTGTAGACGAACAATGAACAACAAATGTTTAAAGGTTATTTATTAAACAAAGAGTATTTTATTTTTCTCTTTTTTAATTTTTTTTTTTTTTTCTTTTTTTTCTTTTCATTTTTCTATTGGATTCAAGTTTTTAAACTCTCAAATACAAATAAATTAGTTTTCTAATGTTACCTAATTATTATTTATTTTTATTTTTGTTATAATCTTAACTTAGTATTCTCGCTGGCATTCAATAAAAAATTGGAATTTATTGTCAACTCCATTTGAACAGCTGAAGCAGGAAGTGCAAGATAAGGTATGATTTAAGTTCAAACATGTAATTTCTTCCACTATGCATTTTCATCCACTACACATTTTTTAAGTTATACTTTTTAGTATATATAGTTACATGAGTTATGAAAACGTAATAAAGATTTTATGTTATTTAAGTTTAGTGTAACCTTTTAGACCTTTTCAGTTATGTTGATAAAATAATTGTTTTATTTTTTTTTAAATAATTATTTTTTTTTTTAATTTTTTATTTAATTAAAGTTCAGACATGGTTATAATTGATATATTTATATTATTAAGTTTACACAAAAAAGTTTTTTTACAGGCCTTGTTAAGAACCACTATGCTATTTGAATTTTACATACTTAATGGTGATTTTACCTACGGGTCAAGCCATTTACATTAAGTCTTTTAGCGCCTTGAATTTTTTTTTTTTGATTATTAAGAAATTCAACTATAAACAATTTAAAAAAAAACTGAATTGTGAGAAAACAAACTTGAGATGTTTTAAAAAATAAATATAATAAGCAAAATAATAAAATAAGTATATGTATTTGAGTAAGGAGATTTTTTTTCAAATAACTTATTTAAATTTTATTGATAATTTTTTTAATATTGTTTAATTTAAAGATTTTTAACTTCGTTTTAACTTAAATTTAATCACAGGTACTTTAATTTATAATTAAAGCAATGTAACTTTCAAGGATATAAATATGAATATTGAGTCAAGTTACATTTACTTGCGTTACATTTTTCTGTTATGCAACAAAATCTCTTAGCAAGGCCTTTTATTATTTATAAATTATTTCATAAGTTCATTATATCGGATATATTTTTGTATTTAAGTGTGTTTTGTGTTTACTTATTTGTATTACTCCACCCTATGGTTTTCTTCTTCTTGCACAGCCACTATTTCTAATTAGAATCATTTCTTATATCTCTTTCATTAGGACAGTTTTTTTTTATAAGAACAATTGGTATCAACAGATACCTTAGCTCTGAGTTGTCTTGGTATCAACTGCAATTAGGGCATCTGAGAAAAACGTTTTATCTTAACTAAATAAGATGTTAGTGCAATAAAGTTTTTTCTAAGGTCCATTATTCTCAAATTACTAAAAATCAGAATTTAGATTCTAGAGACTAGGTTCTAGAGACTAAAGATTAAAAAAAGACTAGGTTCTAGGTTCTAGAGACTAGAATATTCTAGAGATAGAAAATTATTAATAGTGTCTAGAGGTGTCCCGGATAAGCTATCCGGCCAGATATCCGGGCTGGATATCAATATTATTCGATATTCGTTATCTGGCCGGATAATAACATTATCTGGTTTTCCATAAACCGGATATTTCAAGTTGAAATTTAAAGATTTAATAAACCAAGAAATGTTATATTTTTAAATATTCTAATGTTAATAGTTTCTATTCAAAATTGTTATTATTATTAATAATAATTTATTATTCAAATACTATTAAACTTAAACGCACCAAACACATCCGTTTATCACTCATTTATAAATTTATTTCCATTATGATGAATAAATAGTAACATTTTTATTTTTTTTAGAATTTGCTTTGACTTTTCATCATTTATATCCCATATCTTTTTTGATGTAAAACTATCTTCAACAGACATCTGTTTTTGCATTTCGCACTTCTTCTTTGAAATCAATGAACTACATTTTGAACTTCCTTGAGCAGCTGAAGAACATTCCATTTTATAATTTTTTTTCTCTTCGCACAATTTGCAATGAAATTTTTTTGCATGATTATGCAGCGGAGTTGTAGAAAATGACTGCTGACCAGATTTACTACACTCCCTGCTTATCTGCTTTCCACCTGAAATGCAAATAGCAATGGAATCACAGCTATCACTAATTTTAAAATGTTTCCATACAAAACTCGCCATTTTGAAAGGTTATTACAGTAACTTTTGTCTTAATTTAATATTTATTCAAAAGTTAAATTACATTATCCGTATCCGGCCGGATAATTTTTAAATATCTGAGTATTCGATAATGGTCGGATAACTGAAAAATGATATCCGGGACACCCCTACTAGTGTCATTAACAAAGACTATTCTAACATTCTATCTATCTGATCTGTTGCTATAGTTACATCTAAGACTTTTTTTAAAACTTTGGTGTTATATAATACATGTTGTTCTATCATACATGTATCTGATCTTGATCATGAATTACACTATTCTTGATATCCTAGAGAAATAGTTTAACTCAAAGACAGATATCTTTATCCTTCCACTTTCTGTTGCTATAGTAACATTTAAAACTTTTTTAAAACTTGTTAAAGTGTTTTACTCTGTTCATACTCTCTAAACTATATAACAAATGATTATTTGAATCTTGTTTTCCTGCCTGCTGAAAAGTGGCATTTGTGGTTTCAGTTTTTTAAAACTCTAGAGCCACAAATGCCACTTCTTATTTTCCGTAGAGGACACTCTGACTCACTCCAACTTATTGTCCATTTTGTCTGCTTACTGTTATTTAGCAAAGACTTCGAAACTTTAATAACTTTTAATGTGATAATCAATATTTCTATCTTCTTGTTTTAATGCTGACTTATTAACATAAAAAAAAAATAATAAAATAATGATGATTATAAAAAAAAAATAGCATAAATATTAGTGTTGAGGCAGGGGCTATTGCTCTTGACACATCAAAAGCTTTCAATAAAATCTGACGTGCTTGTTTTCTCCATAAGCTTTCTTTATATGGTGTATCTGGGAAGTGTTTTTAATATTATTATTGAACCATTCTTTTGTAACTATAGTATTAAAGTTTTAACATTCTCTTTCATTTCCATTAATCTTTATGTGATCTATCCTGCAAATATCATTATTTAAAAAAAAGGGTACATAATTTTTAAAAAAATTTCATAAATGGGAAAAGCAAAACTAAACACATGTTGTGTTTAGATGAAAGAAAATGAATAAAAAACTAGCTCATTTTAATAACAGTATTTAAAACATTTTTTTTATATAAAAAATTCAGACTTTTTATAGTATTAAATCTTTTTTATCTCTTGATTTCTTATTTTTTTTATTTCCTAAAATTATTTTGTTAAGGTAAGCTTTGATGTTTTATAACAATTTATAATTATTTAGATATTTAAAATTTCTTGTGTTTAGAAAAAAATGAGGCTTGAGGAACAATTAATAATTAACAATTCTGCTAGGTAAATCTCTAACCATTTTTTTCTTTTATTTATATATATATATATATATATATATATATATATATATATATATATATATATATATATATATATATATATATATATATATATATATATATATATATATATATATATATATATATATATATATATATATATATATATATATATATATATATATATATATATATATATATATATATATATATATATATATATATATATATATATATATAAGCCATAATAAAAGTTTTTTCTTTAAGCTAAAATGGAATTTTATTATGGAAAAAAGATTTTTTTTATTATTCTTTTTCTGAAAAACTGTGACATAAGTCAGGATTTTAAGACAATTATGCAAATTTTATTAGGACAGTGTCAACCTAAATTAGCAAAAGTAAGTGTGTATAGGGGAATATTACCTAAATTGGGACAACTCTTTAATTTGAACAAGTCAATTTGTTTCCAAAATAAAACATCTATTTATGTTACATTTTTTTAGCTAAGTGTTTTTGTTTTTTATGTTTGGTATGATTTTAAATATTGTTCCCCAAAAATTGAAAGTGTGTTGATTTTACTTTTTGTTCTCATCTAATTTTGTGTTGATGCAAAATCAAAAAGGTAAATTATAAAGCTGTAAATTATACAATTTATTTATGTTTAATTAGATAATAATTTATGTACAATTTATATTAAAAACATAAAATATATTAGTTTATAATATAAATTATATAAGCAAGCTTTCTCAGGAGACCTGTGCCGTCACACATCTTATATGACCACACATACATTTTTTTTTGACAACTTGGCCACGGGTTTTTGTATATACTGATAATTTGCATGTTTTAAAAAATGCGCTAAAAAAACCAAAACTAATTTAAAGAGAATATATTAAAAAAGCAAATCATAAACTGAAAAAAAGAATAGAACTTAACGAATAATAAAATAAATAACGAAATAACGAATAATAAAATAAATAACGAAATAACGAATAATAAAATAAATAACGAAATAACGAATAATAAAATAAATAACGAAATAACGAATAATAAAATAAATAACGAAATAACGAATAATAAAATAAATAACGAAATAACGAATAATAAAATAAATAACGAAATAACGAATAATAAAATAAATAACGAAATAACGAATAATAAAATAAATAACGAAATAACGAATAATAAAATAAATAACGAAATAACGAATAATAAAATAAATAACGAAATAACGAATAATAAAATAAATAACGAAATAACGAATAATAAAATAAATAACGAAATAACGAATAAATAAAGGATAAATCAGAGAAATAAAAGCGCAAAACTTTTTTTTAATTTAATTTTTTTTTTAATTTTTTAATTGTTCGTTTAAACTCAATTAATTAAAAGTGTTTTAACTAACAGTTTAAAGTTAATTTCTATATTGCCACGTTGGTATAGCGCATAGGTTAATTAATTGTGTCATTTTTGAGTCACAACTGTTACATCAGCATTGGTCGAAGGTTCAGTTTCTACTAATGGATGGGTTTTTGTGTGTGTGTTTTATCTGTTTTTTAGACATTAGAAAATATCAAAGTTTCAAATTTTTAAATATTTGAGTTTCAAAGTATTTAAGCTTGGGTTAAGTAACTTTGAAGCTTTGTTTTTTTCTAAATTATTTGTAGTTAAACAGTTTTAAACTAAAATAAAAAAATATCAATTTTATGCTTTTATTTTTTATTTATATATTCTTTATAATAAAATCTATCATCTATTTAAATATTAGTTCTATTAAAAGGTGCAAATTATTTAAAATTTATCACCTAATACAAAATGACTGAAATCAGAAAAAGTTTTATAGCTGTTGGAGAAAAAGCAAACAACCATCTTATTAAGGAAAAGAAAACAAAAAGAAGGGTAGTATATATTACTTTTCTAAACTATAAGTAATAAATCTTTTAATCAACGCAAGCCATATATTTTTTTATATCTACTTTTAGGTGTCTAATACAAACAAACCTTGAACAATTCTTTGTTTAACTTAAATTTATTGATTAAACCTAAATGGCATAATTTTCCATATCGGAATTATTGGAATTGGATTAGTAAACATTTATAATTTTATTTTTATTTTCATTTAAATAAATTTTGTTATCTTTTTGGCTCTATTAAATTTAATGATTTTTTTCAAAAGTTCATTAAAACAAACTGGTTGTGTAAACTTGTGGTATAATTCTTAAAACTTGTTATAAATAATTAAAATTTGTCTTAAAAAAAAACACAGAAATCATATTATCATAAAAAAAGTAATTTGTCTAAAAAAATACAAAAAAAAAGTATTATAACTATATATAGGACTTTTATAAGAACTATTTATTAAAACAGTTATATAAAAAGTTCTTTGGTAATTAAAAAAAATGTTTTTATTGTAAACAATTGTTAAAAGTAATTTTTTATTTAATTTTAAGTGTAATTTTAAGTGTAATATTAAGCATAATATTAATATAAAACATGTTTTATTAGAAAAAATAGAAGTTTAAAAGTTTAGATAATTATGGGCTTTTTTGTAATGTTTCAAAAGCACATGTACATGTAAAAAGCTGTGGATAAGTTATTGAAAAAATATATTATATGTGTGGTCAGGAATAGGCAAGATAGGTTATTTGGAATTAACTTTATCTATATACAATAGATAAAGTTAATTCCAAATAACCTTCAAGATTCCAAGGAGAATGATTTGAGTTAATGAATGTTTGACTAAAGCAAATCCCTTTTAAGTCAAACTTTGACTAATATCAGATATTATTTCAGTTTTTCTTCATTGAATGCTAAAGTATAAACATTAAATATGCACCATTATACAAGTAGTTACATATTGTATTCACACTGTACACTCAAAGGTTAACATTTAAGTTTAACAACAATTACTTCCTTATTATTATTATTTATTATTATTATTTTATAGTATAATTGTGTCTAAAAGCAATCTTTTATTGAGAAATTTAACAATTTTTGCTTTTTTAATGTTTTGTTTATTATGATTTATTTTGTATCAGTTTTATTATAACATATTACTTCTGATAATATTCTATTCTATTCAGATCTAAATTCAACAAAAAAAAAATTGAAAAAATAAGGCTATTGTTAATTTTGTTTGATATGGAATGTCTTTTAAGAAAATTTTAATCAAGTTTTTTTGATTTCTTAATTTCCCATACAAAAAGTTTAAGTTAACTAAAGAAATTAGTTTTGATTTCAAATATTCAACCTATTTTTCCCCATCTTATCAAAATATTTGGATTCAAATTGTTAGCATTTGAAGTAAAATCTCAATAAAACTATTATATAAATAAATACTGCCGTAAAAAAATTTGTTCAAAGTATGTCAAACTGAATCTCAAAAAAAAAAGTGTATTTTCATAGAGATTTTATTGAACATAAACACATTTACTTAAAATTTATTGACAAAAAAAATATTGTGCAAAAATGTTAAAGACTTTCAAAACAGTTTTAACAAAATAATTCTCAGCAGTAATATAAAATAAAATAAGTAAAATAATAGGAATATAAAATATTTCTTTTTATTACAAATCAATATTATTTTTAATATTTAGTGTGATTGTGAAATTTAAATTACTATGCTATATAAAAAAATGTCTGCTTATGTTGGTTTGTGTTACAATAGTACACTTCTGAAAATCAAATAGTTAATAAAAAAATAGTTTAATATTTATTTTTAATATATTTTTAGCTTATAGCAACAACAAAAAAAAGTGGGTTATGTGTTGCACTTTTTTTAGACCTTAAATGTTATATACTTTGTTTTGATGTATTTTATTTTTACTTAATTTTATATTAATTTTATAGAGATGATAACAACCATCTTCATTCAAAAGTTGACTTGTGGGTAGAAAAGTACAGTCCTAAAAGATACACTGATTTGTTAAGTGATGATGTATGTTACTTTTCTTTTTTTACTTCTTGTTTGATATTTATGTATTTATTTATGGTTTTTTTATTTAAATATTTGATGATGATATATGTTTTATATGATCTTTATGTTTTTTTTATGTATTTACTTTTATTAACTTAAAAAATACATTAAAAAAAACAAAAAATTTTTTACATATTTTTTTGTTTAAATAAATTGTCATATCAAATAAAATAAAAATTTTTTCTATTATTTTTACCTAATGATATTTGGCACTGTTTACTAAATAACCCTTTTTTATGTATCATTTGTTTTACATATTTTTATATACACTTAAACAAATGGTTTCTTTAGTGTTCAATTAAAAAGGAGCTTTCTGAATTTATGTATTGTGTACATTTTTTTTAAATATCTATGTTGTCACACCATAGATCCTCTCTTTTTTTAAATATAAGGGTCCAACATTGGAAAGCGTGCCCAATTATATATATTAATATTTTAATGCCAAATGCTTTTTTTTATTCAAAATTTAATATCTGTCAACAAACTTTGAATAAGTTTAATATTATAAAAAGTTATAAATCATTTTTTCAAGTCTTCTTCTTCCTTAGGGTTTGCAATGGTGTCTTTGAAATTTTGAGTATTAAGGTTTTTTTTTAAATGTTAAAAATTTGTAGTTAAATTATATATATCTCTTTAGAGAATGATTTGGTGTCTTTTGAAATTTTGGTTGTTAGTTTATATATATGTGTGTGTGAGTGTATATATATATATATATATATATATATATATATATATATATATATATATATATATATATATATATATATATATATATATATATATATATATATATATATAATTTTATTATAAGAAATATTTTTGTAAGAAAATTTTTTTTATAGGAAATTTATATACAGATATGATAATATATATTTAATAACAATATGTCATTTAAAATTAAGCAAAATTAAGTGTAAAGTCTTCAAGCATAAGTTAAGTTTCTGGATGATATATGAAACAGTCATGTATAATAGATGTATAATATAAGAAACTTTAACAATTTTTTTTAACAATCTCTTATGCTATACATTTTTTAAATAGCAGCTGAAACCCTTGGAATTGACACTGAGGGTAGGTCACTTAACCACTGAGCTATTGAAGATGTAGGCTTATACAAAAAACAAGCTGTATTAATCTTTTATACTAATTACAATTAATCAACACTCCAGCGAGTAACTCTAAATAAGCGCAACTTTATTAATTGTTATATTTAAATAATAATAAATATTTTATATGCAAATGTAAAAAATCTACTTATATAACATTATGTAACCTCAGTAGATAAGTTGAGGTCCTAGATGGAACAATTATGCATATATATATATATATATATATATATATATATATATATATATATATATATATATATATATATATATATATATATATATAGAGAGAGAGAGAGAGAGAGAGAGAGAGAGAGAGAGAGAGACTTTTTTCAAATAACAAATTGCAAGTAAAAAAAAAAATCATATTTTTAAATTATTTATTTTTAGTATTATTTACTTTTTATTATTCCATAATAAAATTATATCTACAATTTATTTAGAAAATAAAGAACCACAAGTAAAATATTTATAAACTTTATATGCAATTAAATATTTTCAATAAAATTTTTTATATAATTTTAATACTGTGTAATTTTTCAAATGATAAAAAAAAAAATAATAAAGAATTCAAAAAATATAATACTTAAAATTTAATATCTAAAATATTCATTAAATTTTTAGTTTAAAATAATAAATCATTAAAATTTTTAATTTTTCAAAACTTTTTCATTTTTTATTTACACAGATATATATATATATCTTAATTTTTTTGCTATGAATTTTTATTTTATATATATATATATATATATATATATATATATATATATATATATATATATATATATATATATATATATATATATATATATATGCACACCCTAGAGCTTTTAAAGATGCAAGAGTTTATTTTCCAGATAAATGTGATTCAAATAAATAAATTGCTAACCTCTTTTTTATGTTTATGGTAATCCCTTTGTGTCAAATTTTTTTTGCCGACCTCTAACAGTCTGAGGTTGGCAATTTATTACATCTTTAAAAGCAGAGTACTTGTGAGTGCCCACCAATATTATAGCTTTATTTTCAAGTTTGTTAAAACTTGATCTGACCTTTTGAACAAAAGTAAATAAGGAGGGCATATCAAACACTGTTATGTTGACTTCAAAAATTTGAAGCATTTTTTTCACTTTGTTGAACCTTTTCATAATTTTGGTTCAGATGACTATGATGGCGGTTGTCTCCGGCTGATCCATTTTCCGAGAAGTCTATCAACTTCTACTATCGCGCTGGGCTGTTGCATTTTGTCATTGTTCAGTTCTTTTAAGGCTACTTTAAAGTTTAAACGCATATTTCAAATGTTTATATACTATTGACTAAACTTAATTAAAATTTAAATTTTTTTTTTTTATACAAGATCATTTTTGAGTAGTATTTAAAAAAAATGGTGTGGAATTATATGACCTTTAATCTGCAATGCAGTACAGTTGCACTTTTTAGCTTATTTTATTTAGATTTTCTACTTCATATAGTTCTTTTCTTTGAGTATTGCTGTTTTATTCTCTTTTTTATAAAATGAAATAGTATCGCGTTATTTTCATTCATTTATGTTTTATATAAAGTTTTATATATGTTTTTTATTTCATTCATTTATGTTTTATATAAAGTCATTCTTTTTTTTAAAAATTTCTTAAAGAGCAATTTTAATATTAATTAAAAGTTAAAGAGCAAAACTTACCTTCTAGAGAAAAAAAAAATAGCTTTAAAAACTGTATTAAAAATATTCTTTATGTTATTAGCATCTACCTCAATAATTTGTTTAATCAAATTTAATTAAATTTTTTTGTATAATCTTATAACTTAGTAAAAAAATCAAGTTAAATCAAGGAATTATTCTGTACTTTTTTTAATAATGATGTTTTTTTCCATTGCAAATTACTCTAGTTTCTTATAACTTTTTTTTGCTGTGAATTCTTAAAATGCTTACTATATAAAAACTTGTCTAAAAAAGTTACTTCAAGTGTGGACAAACAAGGCATGTGACTGCACATGTTTCCCGGTAAGGCTTGATATATATATTATTTAGATGAATAAAAACATTAGTGGGATTTAAATTTTCATGCCCAAAGGCAATTATCAACTGTGAATACAAACAAAAAATGTAAATAACAGACAAAAATGTAAAAATAACTGTAAAAAGATTTCAGGTGTGATAAACAAATCTAATTAAAAAACAAAACAAAAAATAAATGGTTGCTATAATATACTAGTCTCTTGTGTCAAATAAAGATAATAAGATTTGTCAACACTGAGATATTTATTTAGTATTATGTGATAAAGTTACATATTTTTTATAGAGACAAAGTTGGAAAATTTTTGTTGTTTGATTGTAGTATTTTTTTTTTTATTTTTTTTTTTATTTGCATTTACTCCCAACAAGGCTGCAAGCAACCACTATTAAGTTGGGAGTTACTGGGAAAAAAAAGAACAGAGTTATAGAGCAAGGAAACGGTTGACAGAAGACTTGAAAAGTTGAAGGTTGTATGAGTCAGGAAAACATGAAGATAGGAGAGAGTTCCAAGGAATTAAAGTGCAGGGAAAAAAACTAGATGAATAAAAGTTTTTAGAGCATGCAGGGACAGATACAGTAAACGAATGAGACTTAGCTGAATGACGAGTAAAACGAGAATGAATTTTAGTTGATGGAACTAGAGATGATAACTCCTTTGAGCAGTGACCATGATAGTATTTGTAGAGAAGAGAAAGAGATGCAACTTTACGACGATGGGAAAGAGGCTCAAGCTTACCAGATAGTCCAGGTCCAATAACATTTACAATGCGTTTTTGGACCTTGTCAAGAAGAGAAAGTGAATCGTTAGAAGAACCAGCCCAAATATGACAACAGTATTCCATACAGGGACGAATAAGAGATTTGTAGAGGTAGAGAATGGAATCAGAAGTAAGGAAATGGCAAGCACGATAAAGAGAAGCAACCTTAGCAGAAGCTAATTTAGCAATTGAATGTATATATGGTTTCCATGAAAGGTCAGTAGTAAGCGATAATCCAAGAAGATGTAAAGAGGAGGACTCAGTAAGAGGATTGCCATTCATTAATATAGGAATGTTGACCATATTACGGTAGTTGTTTGCAGTAAGTGTTTGCAATGTTGGGTTTGCAGTAGTGTTTGCAATGTTGGGTAGTTTTCAATTTTAGGCTCCTTATTTCCTTAGAGATGTTGTTTGACTAATGCAAAAATACACTTTTTATGATCACTGGAGCTTGATAGACAATGTCACAGTTGCTTAGTAGACAATGTCGATTCAGGCTAGAAAATAATTTCTAATTTTTGTTTTGACATTTATGCTGTATGGTGGGTTATACCATATGGTAATGTTTACAATGTTTTTTATCTAAAATTAATATTTGTTGGTGGTAAGCTTTGCGTTTTATTCTAATTCTATTTTAGAACTTTGTCATATGGTGGAGTAACCTTATTAAAGGTAGTTTCCATATATGATATGGAAAATAATTTTTGATTAGTATTGTGAGGGATTGCTTGGAGAGAGAGTTTGGAGCAAATATACCTTAGTTAATTCAGGATCAGATCAGGATTACAATATGGTTGGAATGTATTGTTATTTAGATTTAACATAATAGTGAAGTAACTCTTTTTACATTGGAATGGTGATTAGTAGTTCATAACATCGTCATATGACAACATAACATCGTCATAACATCGTTAAGGGTGTTTTCATTTATGGAAGGATAAAAATTGTTTACTAACTAGAAATTTGTATAAATGTTTATTGTTGGTTTTTATAAAACAATCTATAACATTATGCCATTGAAAAAAGTTGTATTTTACCATTGATTAAAACAATGCTTATTTTCAAGTTAACAATTGATTTTTGATCAAATTACTTTAGCAATTCTTTAACCTCATTTCTTGAAGGGTTCGAAAAACAGACAGATAGGTTGTTAACAAATTTTTCCTTGTGATCTTTTAAAGTGAAAAAACAGCTATAATATCTGTTTATATAAATTTTTTATATACTTCATGATTAGTTAAAAAAATTTTCCTACTTTTTTGTTTGGTTGTTTAACTTTAAATTTGCTTTTTGTAGTTGCTGGTAATAGCATTTGTTAACAGGTTATTGTATGTCTATGGACAGTTTATACATACAGTTAACTCTCAATATCTTAACTACTAGATTTCTCGAACTTTTGTGTATCTTGAACTTTATTTCAGGTCCCTTTAGCAATCATTTAAGCCAAAATCCTCTTGATAACTCGAATTCTCAATATCTTGAACTTTTTTCCGGTCTCCTGAGAGTTCAAGATACCGAGATACCCAGAGTCAACTGTATTTGATGTTTTGTCTGTTTGTGTTAGAGTTTTGTGAGATATATGTATGGCTTTAATGTCTTTTTTCATACCATTTTGAAAAACATTGCTTATATCTTGAAAATTTAGTAATTTTATAAGGTTTATTTCTTTTATTTATAAGAAATATCTTTATAAGATTTCTTTTATTTGCAGTGGATATAGAGAATCTCCACTATAGGAGATTTTCTAGTCTGTATAACTGAGATTTCTTTATTTCTTGGACATTATTAATAAAAAAAGAATGCTTTCCACTTCATTTTATTTCTTTTTTGTTTTTCATTTTCTTTAATTCTGTTTTGTTTATTAATTTAAATT